CCCCCCCCCGCCCCCCCCCCCCCCCCCGGCCTCTCCTCTCCCTCCGCCGCCTCCTCTCCCGCTGGCTCCTCCTCTCCCACCGATCACCCCTCCTCTTCAAGTAAAATTTCACTTTTTTTTAATTTATAAACTGTTTTTTAACTTATTCACTGTTTTTATGTAATTAATAATGATCTTGTTCAATTCACTAGATTGTTATTTGTGTTTTTTTGTAATTTTATATGAAATTAATACATATTTTTGTGAATTATTATAATTAAATAAATTTAAAATAGGCAAACATCTAGGGGCCGCCTAGGCGCTAGGCCCCGGCTCGAATGCCTAGTCCGCCTAGCACCTTCTGTAACATTGACAATGAGTAGCCTTTAAAACCAACATGTTAAGTCACTCATGGAGTAAGTTTTATTGGATTTTCTTCTTTCTCTCTCGCATCTTATAAATAAACAAAAATCCAAATTACTGCAAGGACCCTTAGCACTCTATTTAACTCTAATTTATGGTTGAACTAGCATTGCAACAGATTCATCACCAACATGCAACATCCTTGAAAATTCAGCTCAACTCAAGTACCAATAGACAAGATAACCCGTGAAGAGCAGTATGTTAGCCGCAGGTTTACGCTTATGATTAGCCCAGAGAGGATCTATATGCAAAATAACACATTTTGAGAGAAGTGAATAGGCTGTATAAGATTGTACATTTTTTACATCAGCATTGCTTATATATCACACCAGCAACGATTGCAAACTGTACTTTAAACACTTTAAAAGGAGGGGGAAATACAGTGAAGTAAATAAAATAACGCACATCTTGTATAAACGAGTTACCTCCTCCCTGTCTTCCATAGAAGAAAAATGATATTCCTTGTCATTGGGCCCGACCAACCCAGCACCATTACCATCATCATCTTCTAACCCGCCTAACTCAACTTCCTTCACAACATTTTTGCCACCAAAAAATGCATATTGTGAGGCATCAAAGCGAGCATTATCTGCAAAGCAGCAGTTGGACAAGTTATATTACAAAAGAAATGTCATAAAAATAATAAGAGCACCAGAGAGGTAAGACCAAATGTATCACAAAGAAGAAACACAACATAGATGAATGCACATATAAATTATGGTGCTTTACAAGAAACCATAAAACTGCAATAAGCACATCTATCCAATCAAACTCTGAAATTAACACGGTATTTCAGGTTCCGCACTTCGAGTTATGTATGAAAATACAATCCAAGGAGGATGTCAATCTAAGTTACACTCACACCAAGCTTAATAAATTAAGATACAATGGAAAACAATCAATTAGAGAAAAAATATTTAATTCTATGCAAAACCAGCAATGTAAGAAGAATTCTTACTGCAGTTCATGTTGTAGAAAGCATAATACAAATTTATGGGAAATTTTTTTGAACTTCAATAAGAGAAAGATCAAGGTCAAAAAAAATAGCACAAACTGAAATACACAGAGATGGACTAGAACTTGGATTGATCCCAGCGCTAAGGATTGTCATTTTCACTTATCAGCAGACAGGAATATGCAACCCAAAGCTGAACAAAATGAAATTAACAAGATTCCAATATTGCATAAGAGCTTTACATACATCATTCAACAGGAGCTTTTATATAAAAAAAATTGACAGATTTGCATCATCATGCAAACATAAACACCCGAAACAAAAAAAAAAGTCCAAATCGAGCACTTCAAGATTTATATTTCATCTTTACAATCATACTAATCTTTCAAACTCTCTGAAACCCTCACTGTCAACAAAGAAACAGTGCTTCATTATCAAACAACTCGACCCAACAGTAAAATTCCATTAAATACATAATTTCTAGCAGACACGAAACAGCACCAGATCTACTGAGCAAGAACACAACCAAATCTCCCATAATTCTATAAGAGACAGATTTTTACTGAAAATCAAAAACAAGAAAATAAGCTCACCTGTGCTACTGCTATCTAACTCCTTGAAATCCACGCCCAAATTAGGGTTCCCCAATTCCACGCCATCTCCCTCAACTCCCCTCATCTAGCCTAAAACCCTGGCTCTAGAATTCTACAATGAAATCGAATAAAAGAAGTAAGCAGCAGATTTCTCTAAGCCTAAAGAACCCCGCTCTATAAAATTCTAGGGTTTAGTTTTCTACTGAAGTGAGAAATCTGACAGCAGTTAGCGAAGAAAGAGAGAAAGGTCGTGATCGCGATCGCGATCTACTGACACTCATAAATCACACAACAACAACAAAAACGAAGATAATTCAGAGAAAAAGAAAGGAAAATAGATTGAAATTTTAAGGAAAAATCGACGGAGAAATTACAGAGACGAGCAAATTTTTGGTGCAGAAAGAGGTGGGATTTTTATTTAATTATTTTGTTTTCATCTCTCTCTTTCCGTGTCCCCTCTCTATCTATCAGCTGATTAAGAGGACGGTGGGTTTTTATAATGCGGATAACTTGTGGCGCAAAATGTACTATTTAGTAGTAAATTGTAATATCCGGACCCTGAGATAATTTTACTCCGACTGAATTTTTATTACGTACAGAGGGAAATTTTTATTTGACCCACTTTTGAAGGGGATTTGTTTAAAAACCCCTGAGGATTGGAATCGAAGCTGCTTTTCCTGCTGCTCAAAATAGATATTAATTGAAGGCATGAATTTTGTTTTAATATTCTTCGCTTGGTTTGACAATCAGCAAATAAATGCAGTATCATTTTGCAACTTATAATTGTTATCATAGCCGATTTATCAGAATTTAAAGTTTAATCAATATTAATAGAACATCAAAAATTACAGATAGCAGTTTTTTATACATACAAATGAATTAAATCTATATCAAGAATATAATTATTGAGAATAAAAAGTTATGAGCTGAAGATTTTAAAAAGGGAAAACAAGATGTTGTGATCTAAACTTCTCTAGAAGAAAATCTGAGAGCAAGTATAGACATTGATACTGAAATGAAAAGAAGCACTAGAAATAATCTATATATTTCGGGATATTTAATCAAGGATTACCTAAGTATAATGGATCGTGTTATTCATTGCTCCTAACCCTTTTTTTAATAAGAGATGAACTATTTTTTTATCGCACACAATTATTATATGTTCATATACCATCTAGATTTGGGAAGGAAAAAAACTCATATGCTAGAGTATATCCAGTTGATATTCCTACTCGAGTTAGGTGTAGCTCTATTCATATCATTCGGTAGTTTATAACTGTAAATTATTGAGCTATGATGGTTTTATTTCTCCACACGCTACCCCTTAAGTCAACTATTAGCGACAACAGTAACAAACTTTTTTTTTGTGGCATAAAAGATCACTAGTATCCATTTTTTTTTTATTTAGAACGTATTACCTAAATAAAAAAAAAAGTTTCCGTATCCTACTTCGTAACCTATTTGTTACTGGTCTAATAGTTCCTTACACTCGAAAATATATATTTACGCATAGGAATTTCTTTCCCCACAGTAGATGGTATAAAAGTAAACTACTTTCGATATCAAGGTAAGGGAACAATTTTCCGAGCATATAAATAGTAAGAACTAAGGAAGCAAACTGTACAAGGGAGAAGGAATCAGGGTGGCTGTTTCTTAGAATTGGGCAAGAAATGAGCTTCGAAGGGGGGTCAAAAGAGGTAGTGAGATGAGGGATATTCCTTTTAGAACCACCGCGGAGTGGGAATATTTTTTTATTGATGTATTTGGAGTTGCTTCTGGCTTCTTAAAGTTGCGCTTATTTTGGCTGAATATACAGCACAAAGGGGCCACTTGCATTAAGTGCATCCGCATTATCTATTTATTTATTTATTTATTTATTATAATTATATTATTTATATTTCTCTAATGTCATTAAAGGGGTTGACATAAGGATGGTAACTGGGTAAGTCATCATACTACACGTCCTTTTAAAATAATTCACCACGATATGATTTACAAGAAAAAACTATGCTTAATAGGCACATAATGAACGGTTAGTATCAATATATTTGGGGGTTTCATGACTACCAAATCTTAAATGAAATTGAACAATAGAAGTTCACATCTTATATATGGTTCTCTTTATGATGTTACTTTGTGTTGCTTTCGAATGAGGTGAAGAAATCATGAGCTTTGAGAAATGAAAATCAACCGGATAGCGTAAAAGAGCAAGCTACCCATGTTAGCTGTGCTATATGAAGACAATCATCACACCTCATCTTTGTCTCCATTATACAACTAGTGGTGAACCCAAGGACAACTCGGAGGGTTCTCCCGTACGTGTCTGATCACGTGCGAGACTAGCATCCCGCTTTGAGCCTTTTGCGCCCAAGAAATGAAATACTTCAATTATAGAAATCTTCAGAAGTTTTGTGCAGTGAAAGAGCTTTTTAACATTCTATCAAACAAATCTAGGTTCCGATGGCATGGGGCACGTACTTGATTAAAGCGGATTAAAGAAGTAAAAGATAAATATACTATTGTGTGAGTTCGAAATGTGGCCCATAAAAAAAAACTCTCAACTGGCCTATGTAGAAATAAAAACAAAAAAAACTGTAACCCCTAACCTCTCACGATAGCTCCCGAGTTTTTCATCTAGTGGAAAAGACCGTTAACATGTTTGTGAAGAAAATTAGCAAGCTTGTGTAGAACTAGGAGTTGAGGATGATTTATTGTTTGAGGAGTGGAAAATGTATGTTCATTGACTTGAAGGCAGAGGGAATTTCTTCAAAATGGGGCATAGCCCAACTTGGAGAAACATGACCCCAACTAAGGATCAATATAGTTTGTGCAAGGTTGTTACATGAAGAGATCATTCATAAATAACTCAACCCTACAAGAAATCCAGTATTTAACGACCAAAATTAGTGAAGGGACCAGTTGACCGTCATTAATGTGCATATAATAACGACAGGTTTTAAAGCCTTCGTCGAGTGATTACAAATATTAGTAGAATGATGTGAGGTGGGATAACGGCTTTCTAATCCCTTCATTAATTTGATCCTAATATTGTCGTTATTGGGTCTCCTTAAAGACGAAGGGGTCCATTACCTTCATTGATGATGCTCCTAATCATAATAGGACTGATAGTTTAACCTGTTACTATTAATTAACAAGACCTACAATCAAAATTCCCAAAGCCCCAAGTACAACCCCAAATCCAAAATCCCCCATAACTACTCCTAATCATTCCTCTACTAACGTCGCCCGCTGCCCCAGCGTTGCCAGCCGACCTAGTGTCGCTCGTCATTGCCTCGGTACCCCAGCGTCGACTCAATGCCACCCAAGCATCTTTGTCGTTCCAGCGCCACCCCAACGACGAGCCCGCATTGTCCTAGCGCTACCCCACCACCGGCATTGTCCTAGCACTACCACATCACCGCCACAGCCTCATCGTCGTCCCAGGCTCGACGGTAACATAAGGCAGCCCTTGTTTGGTTTAATTGCACTCAAGTACCTATAGTTTCACCTACTTTGTACTTATGCCATAAGGTACCCTATTTGCACTTATAATATAATGCAACCCTTGTTTAGTTTTAATTACACTCAAGTACCTATTGTTTCGCATATAGTTTCCCCTACTTTGCCATTGTTTGGTTTATTTGCCCTTTGTAGGCGTCAAAAATTACTTACGGGCTCTCACACGCAGCTCAAAGCAGAGAGAAAACGATGAACGTCACTATCCGAGTCACAGAAGCTCAATTAACGTCGATGAGCACATGAAGCAAGTCGACGAACCGTGTGAAGCAACGGAACTGCAGAATAACGAAGATACGAACTAATCGGGAGCTACACTCCACTTATGAAAAACGAAGTGCCTCTCGTGTCCTGTCTACTCTATGTATGATTCAAACATGGGAGCTTGTAGATCTCTTTGTCATCTTTCATACGCACTTTGAATAGCACAATTCTGAGTTCGGACAACGAAGATACAACGGAAACAAACGAGACGTGCAAAACAGTGCCCCGGACCCTAGCGGAGACACCGCACGTGTCTTGGTTGAGGCCAAGACACCTGAGGTGTATCGGCCATGGCCGAGACACTGCGGGTGTCTGCAGGCCCTAAAAAGCTGTTTTACGCAGTTTTAAGCCGTTTTTCGACCGTTAACCACCTTGATTTGTTTTAACTGATCTAACATCATCCAAGAACATGATAAAGTGGTTACAACTGAGGATAAGATCAAATCATTCATTCTTATTCAAAAACAGGGCTTCTAAAGCCTATAAATATGGTCATAGGGTCTTCATTTGCACAGATCTGAAATTCTCCAGCCTCGACGAAGCCCTGCTGAATTGGAGACTGAAGGAGCACGAATTTCAAAGAAAAGGAGAAGATCGGATCGAGTTCTTTGACATAAAAAAGAAGAGTTCATCAGATCTACAGTTCTTGGTTCCTTCCCTTGAGATCGTACCTAGCTGCGATCTCGAGAAGAGTGGTTATCTCGTTGTTGCCGAGATAATCAATTCGGTTTCTTGATTCCTTCGTGAATCAAAAAAACTCCGGATTGATCTGATCATTTGATAGTCCACGGATATCAACGTCCCCGTCACAGGCAAAGATCCCACACAAGCAGCGGGAGATAAATGTTTGTTACATTTGTTTGAGAAGAGTTGTAATTTTTATTATTTTATTGTGTAGGGAGATCTTATAAAAAATCAACTTTTAAACTATTTGTAATGCTTGAAGTTGTAATGAGTTGCATAATAAAAAAATCAACTTTCACACCAAACAGCCTTGTTTGGTTAATTGTAACTCATGTTAACTTTTTAGAATATAATATTTTTACAAAGTAACAAGCGATACTGTTTTTTCTTTTCATTTGGATATCAATGGAAAATTACTAGGAAGTAACTAATAAAGAACATGTTAGAAAAAAAACTCCCTAAATTCATACTCATTTCGCTTAAATATAGCAAAAACTTCTACTTCATTTTATTGCATCTACTTCGTAATTATCTTTGTGCAAAAAAAAATATGTCCTTACTACACGCCCCACATCAATAACCTAGTTTTGTGAGAGGAAAAAACATGCCTTATATAGAAAATTATAAAGAGCAAGGAGGACATGATAAACGTCTGAATATTAATTTTGAATTAGAACAATCATTACACAACATGTGCTAAGTAGCATGGTGACATGTACAAGAAATATGTGAAAGAAAATTCATTATAAGTTGCACTTAGAAATAAACCTGCAGGAGTGAGTGTTAATGACTGGGATTGGCTAGTTAAGGAGCATTACTTTTCTTCAAATTTTCAGGTATTAATCTCCTAATATTATTTATTTTGTTCCATGTATATTGCTGGATTATTAAAATTCTCTTTTAATCTTGATGTATAGAAAGCAAGCCGACAAAATATACTTAACAGAGGCAAAAGAAAGATGCTCCACCACACGGACAGTAAACCCTTTAGACAAATTGTGTGGGAA